TTCCAGCCTAAGCCCTACCTGGCGCCATCCCTTGCGCTTTGTTTGGCTTGGTGCAGTCTGTCCGCTCCATCCTCGCAACTSCCCCTCTTCTAGCTGGGCTGCTGTTCCGGAGTTTCAAGACAAGAATTAAGACAGAAAAAAGAAATAGAATATTTGGAAAAAAACAAGTCACTAGCACCACATTTTATAACTTCATAAAAGGAAAAATATTCCTTATATTACACTGCTCTCTACTGTGAGAGACAGACTTAACTAGAAATAAGACTCACATTTTAAATAAGAACAGTTAAATATCAGAACAATATACAAGAGAAAAAGGTAGATTTTTCCCTATTTCAAATATTTAAGTGAGGTTTATGTATCTTTCAGAGGGCTATTATAGTTTAAACACAAGTTATGAGCCTAATGCAGCCGCTATTGAATATAATTTGATTACTATCTGAACTCTACAGGAGACCAGATGAGATACCACAGTTGACCTCCATCTGTATAAAACCTCTCAATAGCGYTATGACCAAAATAAAGCTACATAATTATTTTGTACTAGCAACATATACATGTTTTCAATCTTCCAGCTCCAGGTATATTGGTTTAAGAAGAGAATGTAAACTTCAGAATTAGGGCTCAACTGAGCAATAAACAGCATGTCACAGAGCCTACCTGTCACACACAAGCCACTTAAGCTCTGTGACAAAGGCGTCCCACGGAGCTTTATTCCACCAGCCTCAGCTGCTGCTCTCTCACTACTGCAGCCTGACTCACTAGCCTCATCAACCAGATTACAGCTCTGCTGAGAAAATGTTTAAAACACATCTAGACTACAATCACTGCAAAACTCTCATGACACTCACCATTGGTCCTGGCAGTCCTTGCTTCAGTTTTAAGATAGCCTCGCGAGTTGGATTTCTTATGATAATGTCTCAGCTCTGAATTAGCTCCATTAAGATAGAGACAAAATCCTTGCTCTAACTGCTCCAGTCTGATTTGTATGGGATCTTTTCTTTTTAATTGTCTCAGTATCCTAGCACAGAATGGATAATAACATTTGTATTGTTTATACAGGGGGCTATATTAGCAGTTATTACACAAGCACAACACCATAAAGCAGAAAAACGTTTCAAGTTTCAGAATACAGTTTCCAGGACGTGTTGTTTGGTTTAGACCATTCTAATGTGCCACACAGTATCAGTGCTTAAATTTGACCAAGCCTTTCCTATCTGTAAAGACTGTTTCTATGCTCCTAATTTCACTTTTTTTTTTTTCCTCCACCTTAAAAATTATTAAACTTTCTGAGAACTAWCCAGAGTAATAATAAAAATGGTTGAGATTCCCAAGAATAATTGTAAAAGAAAAGCATTGCTATTTGTGTTTGGAAACTCATGGGGGGAAAAAAAAAATCTCAATCACTAGTAATATTAGAAATAACAGGAAAAATCCAGTAAAAAAGACAAATAAAGATTTTTTGAACAGTGCAGAAGTGCTACTGTTCCCTGGAGCAGGACTCCTCATCATCACAGGTGTGTCTTAATTTAGTTGCACTAATTGTGCAACTCGGGCTGCACAGAAGGAACTTTTGGTTCGTTGTAGCCTTCCACACTCCCACTCCAGGCTCCCAGGATCCCACACGGGATCCCTCCAGGATCCCACACTGCAGCAGTCACTTTAAACTCTTCCACTACTTCCACTCTAGGCTGCCTCCAAGCATAGGCTTCACTTTGGATAGTTGAGCACTACCAGTCACTGGCTGCTGACCAAAGTTTCCCTTCCAGGCCACATACTCCATCTTAGTTAATCAGAGAGAGACCACCAGCCCCCTCCCCGGCTCCATCGGGCAGCCTGGGCTCTGCTGAGCACACCGGGCAGACCCTGACACAGCAACGCCCACTCCCAGCCTGAAACAGCGACTGCAGCCCCAGGCTCCTGACAATGGATATGGCCAAGGCTACAGGCCGCCACTGGAATCAGGCAGCATCCCCTTCCCACCCCACAACAGCTTCCAGGTCTGCTCAGCTGCTGCATTTCCCTGTTTCACCCTTGGTTTCACCCACCTCTCTCCCTGCACGCAGGGGCTTGTGCTACTTGTGCTGCACAACAGAAACTCCCAGACCACCAGTACCAGAGTCATCCAGGCTTCTTCCACAGTCTCCCACACCTTCCAGTTACTCCTGTCCCAGGCCACACCAGGTCCAGCTGCCTCTTCCACCAAGTGCTTTCACTGGCAAAGCAGTCCCCCCACCCACTGGGCTTTTTAAACTCAGTTTAAGATTACTAACAATTAACACCTGCTTCTAATCACCAATTTGAGCACTGGGGGAACACACTTCACACTTTCCCTCCCTTTTCTCCAGGCTCAGCCCAGTACTCTCCCTGTTTCAGCTGTTCTTGTTTTTGCCACAAGTGCCACTCATTTGGTCCTAATTTGTGAGGTGAGGGGCAGCCCAAGGGGTTTGGGTCTTGTGGGTAACAATTTGACTGCACCTTCTTGCTTCTCCTTTTTGGGGCTTTTGACCAAAATCGTTGTTTGCTTCAGGATTTGACAGAGGGAAAAAMAAACAAACAAACAAACAAAAAGTTTGTTCCAGGGTTTGATAGAAAAYGTTGCTCCTTGTGGTACAGGAGGWCATGCGAAGAAGCTCTGCAGACCTTTCTGAATTAATCTATGAAACCTTACCAAAAATACAATACTTCCTCGGTAGGACAGATGGTACAAACACATAAAGAAGTCAGTAAAACCTAATCCAAAGATTGCAAGAGCAACCTAGCTGTCATTATCTCCAGTCTTAGAAGAACTTGAGCAGGGAAAGCTCTTGGATGCAGTTTTCTGTATTTCTGAAAGCAGAAATCCTTACCTTGATATTCTCACTCACTGAGGTGCTACTTATGTCTCACCCCAGAACCTCATGCTCTATAAACAAAAGCCTTCTGAATAAATAATGGGAACAACTAATTTTCTCTATATTTTATAACACACTGAAGAAATACTGGCAATTTTAATAAAACTTTAGCTTGTACCTTAGCAAATATACAAAAGTAAAGAAACTCACCTGATTGTTGTAAGACCAATCAAACCAGACTTTGCATCACAACCAAGTTGTTAAGCTAATAAGTGGCAACAGCTGATATTAGTTAGCAACAGCTGACTATAAAGCACAGCACACATCAGATATTACCCACWCAGTTTAATAGGAGTTCTGAATCTTACCGGTTTCTCTGCTGAAGGGTTATTAAATATTCATCATGTTTTTCATCAAAATCAGTCACCATATCCTTCACATAAAGCTGAAACAAGAGAATATAATTAGCATGCTTAAGCAGAGAAATTATTTACTAAAGAACAGTAGTGTGCTTCCACCAAGTAAGGAATAATACTGGAAAGAGCAAACCCTTCAAGAGTGTTAAGGAGGGCAATGAACAGTTATCTTGAAGAATAGACAAAAKAGGGATTTTTGGAGAACCCTTCACAGTTCAACAGAAAATGGAGGCTCAGACCATGAGGAATTTGTACTCCAAGCCCTAACAAGCAATGTAGTTCTGGGGCACATCTTGGAAAGCCCAGTGAGGTGCTAAAGCACTAACGTACTTCCAGAGAACATAATTTCAAAGCAGAGGCTGTGTGCAAAGTCAAACCCCAGGAGGATTTTCCGGAGCTACTGCTCCTGTGGGGTCAGCTCAGTCACCTCAGAGCTCACAGAGGACTGAGGCATTTAGTTAAGGAATTTACCTTGCTTGCCTTGGAGGAAATGCGCGCTCTTTCCAGCAATCCCCACTGAGTATTCGCAAGCTGTTGCTGAAAGCTGTGRTTAACTAGGCCCCATGTTATGAGGGAAAGAGTTCAAGCTCGTCCCAAAACAGTTTGGTAGTAAAAACAAATAATTAGACGCTACTATCAGTTGCGCGGCGTCTCTCCCCAAGTGCCCCCCGGTCTCTTCTTGCTCCCCGCAAGGCAGCGCCGGGGCCGAACTCGCGGGCTCCCCGGGCAGACCCGGGCCCTGGGCCGCCCGAGGGCTCGCGGGCCCTGCCGGCTGCCGCCTGTCCCGCCGGGCAGGGGCCGCACGGGCCGGGCGGCGCCGAGCGGGGCACGGGCCGGGCCGCGCTGTTTGCGCGTTCCCTTGGTTACCGTCGCAGCGGCGCTGTCACGTCCGGCGCGCCCGGAAGCGGCGCCGCCATGGAGGCTCTGTGGGCGCTGCTGGACGAGGTGGCCCTCGAGGGCCTGGACGGCGTGACGCCGGGCGCGCTGTGGCAGCGCCTGGGCGCCCGCGCGCCGCCCTTCCCGCTGCCGCTGGAGCCGGCCACGCGGCAGCTCCTG